AAAAAAAAAAAAAAAAAAAAAAAAAAAACATGTGTCATTTTTTAAAGAGGCCACATCATTGTTGAGGAGGAATGGCTCCTGATGTATCAGAGCCAAGCATTGTCCTTTTGGGACGTCTTCTCCTAGTTTTTTGCTCAGAATACTCAACCACAAAATGCACTCTTTTTCTGATTCTCAGTCAATGAACTGATTGACTGTGTTAATAAAATTTCTATTCCACCAACTTTGCTCTTTGCCAATAGTCTGTTCAACTTCTCTCGCTCCAAGTCTAAGGCCAAAGGTATGATTTTTTTCGTTTTTTAAGTATTATTGTGCTGAAAATTGATATATTTTGGAAGTATTTTCTTAGGTTGATGGGTATTTGTTTGCGACTTGCGTCTTTGCATAAGCCATTTATATGGGTATTTGTTTGTCAGTACGTGAAATTTGACAGATTTTTTGGTCTTTGCTTCTTGTTTGTACGGGTTTTGGCTCTCCTCTGAGCCTTTTGCCTTGGGTTGTTATAAATGTTTATCTTCATGATCATTAAAAATAATAAAAATAGAGTAGAGCAACATATTATAGCTGTTTGTATAGTATAGATGCAGACCATTCCTCCGTTTTTCTTTTTTTAATTTAAACTGTAATGTATTTATTTTTTCATATTGAATTCAATTTTGGTGATTTTTTTATTCTTTTGCTTCTATATATGTTATCTCGAGCCTATGTTGTTAGGGGATATTTTTGCTTCTATATATGTTATCTCAAGCCTATGTTGTTAGGGGATATTTTGATTTATTAAGTAGTATAAAAAAAAGCAATCAAGCAAAAGTAAGTGAGTAAACTCTTAGAAAATTGACATTTCTTTTGTGTTAAAAAAAAACAGACGTTTCCTCTTTTTTAAAAAGCAGACATTTTCTTTCAAAAAAATTAACTGACATTAAATATATAAAACTTCTTATTAAGATGGTAAGAAAGTTGTCAATTTTTTTTTTGATAAATTGAATTGGGTAAACTTGAGCAGCAAAAACTAGTCGCCAAAATATGGTGGAAAAAGCAACTAATCCGATAAAAACTTTATATTTTCATCAACTCCCTCAGAAATCTAACTAAACTGTTCTTGTAAATCTGAAATAATATAATTTTTAGAATCAAAACCCAACTACCTTTCCTTGTTGAAGTCTTAAAAAAAAGGGGACCATGATGGGTTTTCAAAATTATCAACCTATCCAAACAAGAAAAACATGGCGGGGAATTTTCCGGGAAGGTGAGTTGTTGTGGGTTATCTTTTTAGTTGCGATTCCATTTCATTTTTTAGATCGGTGGGAAGTTTCTGTTGCATCAAAAAAATCTTAGAAAGAAAGGGAGAGAGAGAGAGAGAGAGGATATTAGCGTCGTCGTCGTCGTCGTCGTCGTCGTCATCTTCAGCGACTGTGGCCGTCGACAAGGCAACCAGCGATCTAGCAATTGCGTACCAAATTCCAAGAGCTATTTATTTATCTCAACTCACTCTTCAGATCTAGATCTACAATGTAGAATGGACTTTTGGGACGTCTTCTCCTAGTTTTTTGCTCAGAATACTCAACCACAAAATGCACTCTTTTTCTGATTCTCAGTCAATGAACTGATTGACTGTGTTAATAAA